ACAAGAATTCTCTTTTAACACTAAATTGATATCTTTAATTTCCATTCTGCTTTCCAGTTATCTTCCTTAATGATTATCTGCTTATTCATGTTGTATTCATTTGAGTGTTGGCATTCTGATATTCAAGTTTTTTCTTAAAAACCTGGGTAAAGAAAAATCGACAAGCAAATTTTTAGTCAACTAGTTTCTAAACCCATTTCTGAACCAGCACACCTAAGAAAAGCAATCGTAATAAGAAAAATTGATGTATACTGTATTACTACAGCACCAAAGATTTTTTTTTTTAAAGTAGATGGGTAATATAATCAATATTATATATAGACAAATAAATGAATATATCTTTAATTTATATGAGACACATCTCGATACACTCATTTTAGCCTCTGGCAACTTATAAAACTTGTTACAATTGAAGAGAGACAAACAGATAGCTTTTGTAAAAGTTGGTTAAAAGTTTATTGGGAAGTTGGATTCATTTAGCACAAATTTGTTTAGATTTTTTTTTTTTTTTACAGAAAAATTAAAAATTTAATTGATACATTAAATATTAATTTTACTTAATAAATTAACAACTTATAAAAAAATAAGAAAGAGCAATTCAGTTTTATTCAGCCTCCAACAAGTGAAATTAAAAGTTGATTAATTAATGGGTTATTCAGATTTGAATGCCTGATAGACATTATTGGTTAAAGTCTTAACCCCTTTTCATTAACATGTAATAAAAAGCTGTATATTTTGTACAACAGCAAGGAACCTTTTCAAGAGAGGATAAAAATTGATTTACAAAATTAAATATATAACATAAAAATTCAAACAAAAAACAAGACATTTATTTTAAAGAAATGATTGTCTTTATAAATGAAAAAAAAAAAGAAGACATATACAGAGTGCGATGGTTAAATTGTCACTATTTTATATTTTTAATTTTGCGCATATGTGTTGTTGGTTTTTGATTTTGTCAACTGCACAGTATAGTAGGGTCACTTGGGCACAGTCTGTGAGAAAAAGAGCACCATGGTGCAAATCACTCCACCAGAAATTGGCATTTGCACTGGAAGCTCCAATACAGCCATTTCAGAGTGTTTGGGTGTCAATCTGAGGACAGTGCAGAGGATTCAAAAAGAGTTGGATGAGTCTAATGGTGATTACAAATGTGGTTAGAGTGATCACTAGTGATGACGATGTTATTCTTCCATTCATCTTCCCACAGACTAAACACAGAAGCCTACAAGTGCCTTGAGGAGATAGTACTATCCTTGGTCAAGAGGTTGACTGCTAGAAGACCCTATGTCTGGCAACAGGACTCTGCACCATGCCTTACAAGCAGAAGAAGCCACCTAACTCCCCAGACTGCAACCCTCTTGATTATTATGTGTGGGGCACAGTTGAGTGAGAGAATAAAACTCCTTGTAACACCAAAGATGAACTGAAGGCAAGGATTATGGCAGCATTCACCAACTTAAACAAGGAAACCATCCAAAAGAACTGCAGGGTATTCTGAAGGTGTTTGAAGCCAATGGCGATTTTATTGAATAAATTTACTCTTTAGTATTTCAAGATATTTTTGTTTAATTTTAATAAATATATCTTAAAATGAGATGTCAGCGTTGTTTTCATATTTTTGTAATTTTGACGACAATTTATGCATCGCACCCATTACATATATAAGTGGCAGTGCTGAAAAGTTCTAAGCTTGACCAAGAATGGATTCCAAAACAAATTCTGAGGTTTGGTTATTTCATCAGATTTTAGAAAGTGGATCAGGCTGAAAACTTCAGCACTTCTTCATATAAAGAAAAATTTAGAATTTTTGAACCATTTTCATGTGACTAATCACATTGTCAGAATTTCATAATAATTAACATCACCTTGTAAATTTTGTTACTTTGTGTACTTTGATTAAATACCAATTTTGTCAAATTTGATTACTAAGTATTTTGGAATTTCATTTGGGAGATAAATAAAGCAGAACCACATTATTATTCTGCTTGTTACTTAGTGCTTATATTTCTCTGCCAATACATTATAAATAAAGGACTATTCAATCTTGACAGAGAGGAAATATGGAAAAAACATATCATAGACATTGGTTTCAGAGAGAGAGAGAGAGAGAAAACCAACAAAAAACACTGCCAATAACTTATGAATAATGGATAATTCTGTTTTGATCATGAGGAAAGACAGAAAAGACATCAGAAATGCTGTTTGGTTTCAAGAAGAAAAAGAAACAGCAGGAGGGAAGATTGAGGAGGTGATAACTATTGTTTAACTATTGCTTCAGTGAAATGGAAAACTTGTAAATTTCAAATTTTTTTCATTTGTACCCCCTTATTTCTTTAAATAAAAATCTGTATTCATACTTATGATTGTTATTACTAAAGTTGTTAATGATACAAAAAGGAGAAATTATATAGGTATTTTAAGTCACAGAACTTGCAAGGAGCTTATTTAATCATTAACTGAAGAATTCAGATTCAACAGAAAATTCAAATAGCAAACTTGTGAAAGTTTCACAGGTATTTCTAGTAAATAATGAATTTTGATTTGATTAATTGTACTTGATTATAATTTCAAGCACATATTAAATTAAATGCCAATACATTTATAGTGTTTTAGCAAAATTACCCAATATATTAGAGATAATGTTGTAAAATTTTTTTATTTCAATGGTCATACCAATATTCAGTGTTTGAGGACCTATTTTCAAACAAGTCAAAGAGGACAAAAAGAATGAAAACGTCTGAATTGGATTCTTTCTACCTTTCTTAACTGAAATTATCTCCCCTTATACAAAATAATTTTTATACATCAGTTGTGGGTGGAGTAGATTGTTTAGTCAGTAAATGTTTTTTTATAAATATTTTTATTAAGGGGAAAGCCATCCTTTTGTCACAACTTTTTTGAAGATACAAAGGTTCAAGTTTGTCATTTTTTTTTTTTTATGAAATATTTTCAATACCTGAATCTGTAGAAATTTCAGTATTGACAACTAAAATACTCATGGAATATTTTATATATATATATATATATATATATATATGTGTGTGTATATATATATATATATATATTTATTTATTAGATAAAAATTTGCAAATGTAATATTGATAAAGAAAATAAAAAAGAAATTAAGTGCAGGAAATAAAATTGTGGGGAGATATTGCAAAATTAAATAAGAGCAGGTGGGGAGATATTGCAAAATAAATCAAGATATGGCAGAGATATCAAGACAAATTCACTAAGACATTTTGATTGCAGAAACTTTTGAGGTCTTAGTTGAGCATGAATTACCAAGTCCCATCATGTTTGTAGTATTAAAATACAACAGTTTATTGCTTTTTCTTCTCTTGAACACCAACAAATTTGCTCACTCAAATGCTGTTATTAAAGTCAATGAAAGCTTTGATGTATTTGCTTAATAGTCCTACAAAAACCATTATATAAATAACCATTAGTTAGGCTAGTTTGAATCTTGTAGCAGTTAATAGGTAATGTTTTCTAGTTAATATGATGTACATTTTCTAAAGATCACTAATTAAGTGACCCCCCCCCGCAAAAAAAAACCCATAAGTAACTTGTGTTTTTGTGTAAATTTGTTTTAGATAGATTCCATGATAAACTAATTTGCTCAATAAAACTGACTTCAAAAGTCACAGAATTATACATACATATATATACATATATATATATATATTATAAAAAAATTATAACATAAGTATGTTATAAAATCACTACAAAAATAGCCATTTTGTTTCAACACACTGTGTCTTATCAAGTGATGATGTTGAAAATAAAATAAAATAAATTTATTTTATTTTCAACATCATCACTTGATAAGACACAGAGTGTTGAAACAAAATGGCTATTTTTGTAGTGATTTTATAACATACTTATGTTATAATTTTTTATAAAAAATAATTATATCTGCTCTACTTTGTATTGAGCACTCTTTTAAGAATAGTAATTGTTGGTTATTGGAATTCATTCCGTATATACCAATTATATACCAATATATATATATATATATATATATATATATATATATATATATATATATATATATATATATATATATATATATATATTATAAAAAAAGAAATTATTTTAAATGATAGTTATACTTTAAAAGAACAAGTTAATCCTAGATTTATTTCACAATTTTACCAGTTTTAAAGTAAATTTAAACTCAATTTGTGAGATATTTAAATACTAAAACAGACTATAATATGAAATTAATATCCTGGTAAGATTATGCTTAGGCTATGTGGTAAAAGGTATTTCTTTAATCATGAATTTCTATTTTTGGTCTTTTCCATGGAAAATTGAATGGTAGAAAATATTTATCATTGTTGACCCAGGTTAATCACAGGAGAGATTCGAGATGGTTTTTAATTTCAATACTATGAGTTGTTCTCAATACATATATCATATCAGTCAATCAGTCAAGTGCCATATGTGATACATGCTTGGGTGATCATGTCTGCCTTGATTCATAACTGACTAAGATTTTTATGCAGTAGGTTGCCTTTCCTTTCTGCAGTAGACTGGTTGCTAACAAAGTTTGTCCTGCTATTTAACCCATAGCTGGGAGGAGAAGAGATAGATTCATACCTTCCCTAAGTGTATTTGTGTGTAAGTGAATATAACGAACCTAACTGGAATTCGAATTTTGCCCAACAATTTTTCATTCTGAACTGATATCCATTACACCACATTTTATATATATATATATATATATAATACAAAAAGAGTTAACATTGTAAATTTTATCATTTTGTTAAGGGTTTTTTAAACAAGTCCTCATTATTTTGCCATCTTTCTCAATATCCTTATAAAAATAGATCAGCAGTGTTATAGGAATTTAAAGAATTTAGCTAAGCCAGTGTTCATGAATACCAAACTAGACCTAAAAAGCAACAAAACCTGGACATTGATTCATAGAAGTAATGGCCAGAGTATAAAAATGACCATTTAAAAAAAAAAAAAAAAATTGTTCCCAGAAATCAAATTTTGAGGAAATACTCATAATCTCTTAGTTGGTCAACAAAACCAGCATTTGGATGAATGACTGGTCGCTTGCCCTTAACATACCAAAAACCATCTGAAAAGGACATTTTCTCTGTCTTCATAAGGTAGCCGATTATGATAGATGCTGCCCTTGAGATGCCTGCATTGCAGTGGACAAGAACACAGCCAGACTTTCGACCTTCATCAATAAACTTAAACGCTTCATCAAACACTACAGTGATGTTGCTATCAGGCAGATCATAAAGTTTGATTGATTTGTAGGTGAATTTGTCAGGATAAAGATTCTCAACACCAGTAGCAACATTCAGGACATGAGTGACACTGTATTTTTCAAGGGTTTCTAGAGATTGTGCAACATCTTGTGAACCTACAAAAGAAACAATTAAAACAAATTATTCAGTAATTAACAATGAAACAAGAGATGTCTATTATGGTCATTACAGCACAAGGCCAGGATAATTGAGCTCTATACAAGTTAAAAGAGCTTGCTAGAAAACCAAGGCTGAAATAAATGTACAATTGGGTATAGTGCTTTCATTTGGTATAAAGACATTAAAAGATCAAATTAACAACACTGGTGAACAAGTTCAGGCAAGTCCCAAACTCACTCCCTCACATTCTGTACATGGCCCCCTACATGGAGTATAGGATCATATCCTCAACACACCAGGTGTTGCTTCTGTCTCTTTCATAGCAAGTAGGTTTTTATGGGATAGAGTTGCTAGCCATATTCCCTACCAGTTTTGAATTCAGAACTGTCCTTCTCTTATGCTGTCTGCCAACCAAGATGGAAGAGTCCAGTCTGCCCTATTTAACCCATAAATGGTGGGACAAGAGATGAAATCATACTTTTCCAAAGGGTATTTTCATGAAAGTGAATGTAACTAACTAAACTGGAATTAAAACTTGACTTGCTAATTTCTTGTTCTGAGTTGCTAATAATTCCACCACTTGTGTATCTATTGAACCTGAAAACACAAATGAAATGATTTAGATTCTGCCCGGTACTCACTGCTTTTGCATAATTTTGGAAGGATTAATACTGTCACAAGCAGATGAGTGACTGCAACTGGATGTATTATATCTTATTAGTGCTTGCTGTGCTGTAAGAAGTAGAAGAACCCCTGCATTTGAAATCATTTGTAGGCTCATTGTTAGAAACAAATGACAACATTATTTTTTAATAAAAAGGAGATCAAAGTTGCTTCTTTCCTGAAACTCAACTCAAGGATGGCATTTTTTTTTTCTATTACAGAATTCTTATATATATATATATATACCCAAATAAATAAATAAATAATAAACAAATTAACAAACCACTCCCACCAAAATAACTTAGAATAAACTAACCACAATGCATCACCAACCTGTATATATAGTCAAGAAAAAACAAAACGCATGTGGCCTGATGACTGTGTTTAGCATGAAACAGTCTGTTGCCTCTGAATGTTGACTTTTATATTTACATATCTCTATCTCTGATATTGAGCACTTTATCCCATAAATATAGCATACTTTAAAACTATATTTTATATATATATATATATATATATATATATATATATATACAAAAAAAATATATGGTTTTAAAGTATGCTATGTGTGTGTGTGTGTGTGTGTGTGTGTGTGAGAGCACTGAGGTCAATACCAGGTGACAGGGTTTCATGCTTGAATGCAAACTTCAGTCCATGTGTTGTTTTGGCTCAACTATTTATATATGCTGGTCAATGGTGTATTATGAGTAGTAAGGTCTATTGTATTATCCTAATAGTTATCAGGTAGGTGGTAATGGATATGCTTCACATTATTTTATAGGCTACTGAGTAGGAATAATTGTGGATTGAAATGTAGTTATTCATAGCTATTTTATAGTGTTAACTTTTTGCTTATTACTCATTACTTATTTCTTGTTGATTATTATTATTATTATTATTATTGTATTTACATGTGCATCTGTAATTTCTTAATTTGTTTGTTTATTCAGGTGTTTTTGTTTATTTTTTCCTGAGAATTTGTTATCTTATTGCTTAGTTTAAGGCATTGACTTTGTATAAAGTATGCTACATTATCTGCATTGTATATAGTGTAAATATTTGCATTTATTATTATGGTATTTTAAAATATATTTGGTTTTAGTTTTTGATTTTTAAATAATGTAGTAAAAATTTTTCATGTCTGATAAGTTCTGATTATAGCTATTTTCTTCTCCAGACAGAGTTTACAGTTTTTAAATTTATTGTTGTAGGATGATGCTGTTTTCTTTATTTTCCATGATATTTTTGATGTAATTTGGTTTTTGTTTTTAATTTCCCATATATGTTCAGAAAGCATTATTCTGTTGGGATATTTACTTTATTTGTAAAGGATATTTTGTGTATAGTTTCTGTTTTGAGAGATTTTCAATTACTGCTATGTATACATTTTCTTTGTTATCTACTGATTTTAAAGTGGCTTAGTATATTACATTGTTTTGCAAGCAGTTGTCATTTAAGAGACATTTATTTTTTACTCTGTAGTTACAAGCAGGTTTGGTTTGTGTAAGTGGTTTGTTGGTTATGTAACTATTGTGCTTTTTTTATTTGTGTCACATTCTCAGTGCAATTTTTACTGTTTCTATTGAACATCTTGTGAAAGGTGCTAAATGGGGGGGGTATGAGTGTAATGAATATTTTTCCTACATATGTTTTTACATTTTTGTTGTATAGTGGATTAAACCATGATGTTTATTTTTCCTGTTGGCTTTTTTGTGCTGTGTAGTGTGTATGTGAGTGTTGTTGAAAATTCAACATCTTTTAAGGCCATTTCATAATTTTTTTTGGCTTTGTTGAAGATGGTTTCATTGGAAGAATTGTTAGATAATCTATGATTAATTGATTGTGGGATTTGCTTGATTATCGTAGGTAAGTGGTTGGAAGATGTGTGCATGTAAAAACTGGTTTATCAAAGTTTTTCTTTTTCACTTCTAGCAGACCTGCAGTCATTGATGATGACCAAATTAAGACATTGATTAAAAATAATCCAGGTCATATGACACTGGACATCACAGAGATAATCCATTGTAGTGATTCATGTAGCCAAGGAGTTTAAAAATCCCTTACAATGCTTATAGGAGTTATTTGAGCATTGTAAGATATTTTAAAACCATTGGATACCTGAATCACTACAATGTTTGATTGTCAAAAGATTTAATGGTAAAACTTCAATGGATCGCATTTCCATCTGCAATTCTCTGCTAAAATCCAACAGAAACAACCCCTTTTTAAAATAATGATCACAGGTGATGAAAAATGGGTTGTTTACAACAATATGGAACAATAAAAATGTCCTGGGAAAAAGGTCAATTTTTTCAATTTTCCTTCCTAACCTTTTGAAATAGTGAGGAATGTCAGCATCTTAATTACGTCATTATTTTCTCTTCAAGTTACATGTGATATCCATTTTAGTTGTTGCTGTTGTTGAAAGTCCTCAAGTGATGTGGTTTCTGTTATTTGGTACAGTTCTTTGTGATTCTATAGCACCAAGACACACAGGCCTCACTCATTTAATACCATTGATCTAAGACAGTGGTTGTATACAGCTGACAGTTTAGATATTACTGAACAGTTTTGGTATCTGTATGAAAGTCTTGATCTTATAAGGCTAATCTTTTCAAAACCAATCAGAAGAGGAGGATGTTCAATATATCTATTTTTTTTTTAAGTTTCCTTAACAGTACAGTGAGATATTCGGTGGGGGGGGGGGTCTTGATTTGATTCTCTTTGAAAATTTATTCAGTATTATTTACATATATTTTCTTTATTAGTGTTTGGGATAAAATTTTAAAATTAAATTTTGAAGAGGAACTAATTAAATTAATCAAAAACAAACATTCTGCTAATGAGTTTCATTTTTCTATCAAGAGATTTTTTTCTCATTTATGTGTAAGACATCAGTTTCCAGGCAAGTCTCCAAGGCTGTACATGACATTCCCTGAGATAAGTATGAAAGTCTATCAATTTTTTAAAAATTGCAAGTATGCCCCCAGCTAAAATTGGATAGTCATTATTTTTCACCTTTAATAAATAGGATAAAATGACTTATTTTTCTGATTCTGGAAAAGTGACAAAAACATCAGAGACTAAAAAGATTTTAGGAATGTTATGCATAAGTAATGAAGTGTATGTAAAAATTTGTGTCACCTCATCGGACATATTTACTAATTATCCTTACTATAGAATAAAGGAGTCTTCATACATTCCATGTTAATAGAGTGCCTTAAAAAAAAATCTTCAGCTTTTTAGATATTGATTGATTTGTTTTTTTTACAGCTTATCAACCCTTTGCCAAAACATATTTTTTTGATTTTAAGACTATTTTTTTTTTTTTTGGCAAGCGAATATTGCATTAACAATTTTTTTGGAAACAGCAATGATTTTTCCATATATAAATCCTACTATTCAACATATGGCTGGTGGGGAGAAGAGAAAATTCATATATTTCTGAAGGGTGAATGTAATGAACTTGACCAGAATTCAAACTTAATTCTCAGATTTCTTGTTCAGATTTGCTATCCATTACACCACCTGCACATCCACCCTTTTTGGATAATTCTTTTTTCAGAATTTAAGATGACAAAAGATAACATTAGCTCGAAAAGGTGCAACAAGTCACTCTCCAGGAGGTTAGCATCAGCCTTGCTGATGAAAAGGCAAAAAGGGTTCTCTCAGATGATTAATAGAGAGTAGTTTTGTTTTGAAAGTGTTAAAATTAACAAGCCATTCTTTGCCCCAGTTAACAACAGAATGTAAGTCATTTTTTGAGATCAGCACCCAATTTGAATACATCTAATTTTTTTTTATAGAAACTAATTTACTTATTGCATTTAAAAAAAAAAATTTAAAAAAATGGCAGCACTATTTAAGTTTTTAATATTTTACAAGTAGAATACAACTGAAAATTACATTCATCTGTGAGCTAACACCAATAATCTGGGAGTTGAAAGCAATTTAAGATAAATGAATTCGTGCATTTAATTCATCAAGTTTAAAATCACAGAAAATTCTATTTCTGCTATATTAGCAGATGAGTTGACTATATATATATATATATATATATATATATATATACACAAACTTTTTCTAGTGACCTATCAGGTTGGATGTAAAATGCTTGTGGTTTGTAGAACATTAAATTTATTTAGAAACTGCAAGAAATTTACTTCCAAACAGATAGAAAAGTTTTACACAAAAAAAAATTTATCAACTGAAATGCAGACAGTTACTTAATAACATTTAGTTCCTCCCAATAATGACTCTTATGAAACATGGTATGGAGCCTACAAGAATATGGTATGGAATTGTATGAGAGTTTTATATAGTTCCATAGATGGATGCTAAGAATATCCTAGACAGAACATGTGAGCAATGAGGAAGTTTTAAGGAAAATGGGACCAAAAAAGAAACTTGTGCTAAGAATCAGAAAAAAAATCAGTTGAAATTTCTGAGACAAATAGTGAGGAAAGAGGGCTTTGAGAATTTGACACTCACAAGCAAGAAAGAAACCATGAGTAACCTACTACCTAACAAGCTTGTTTAAACGGATGGCAGAACATGAACTGAAAAGAATAGTAAAGAGACAAAGCTTTCTTAGAACTATGAAGGATAGGAAGCTGTGGTAACCATTATTGCCCATGGCCTGAGGGGACACTGCATATACTAAAGAAAGGATTGTTGATTTCAACTGATAACAGCCCTACTATCTAACCCATAAATGGGTTGAGAAGAGAGGAATTCATGTTTTCCTGAATAAGTAAATGTAACAAACTTGACTGGAATTTGAACTTGGTTTTCTGTTTTCCCATTTGGAGCTGTTATACATTACACCCCCTGCACATCCTCTATAACACACACACAAAAAAAAAAAAAAACACACAAAAAAACAAAAAACAAAAAACAAAACAACCATAATTGCAATTGGCAATAGGAAATACTTCAGTTGAGGGAGTTTTAAAAATAATGTAGTAGAAAAGAAAGTAATACTTATAAATAATGCCGAGTGCTAAAGGCTGCAATGACTTTTCTCTTGATATATTAAATTGTAGGGCTTAAAGGTGTATATATTCAATTGTACATCTTAGTAGTTTAGAATAGCAAACATTAATTTGTATATTTTAATAATGGAAAAAAATGCTCAGAAAACAAAACATTTTTTCCGTGGATGCTGCCTGCACATCAAAGTCGGTGTTTGGCATCAAACACAACCAATGTTTTGAAATTTTTTTCATCATCCTCTATTGTAGAATACAGTGGAAATAATTTCAAGGTGGTTTTAGCACAATCCATGCCATACAGTTATGTCTCAGAGCTCCCACTAGTCAGACAAGATTCTGCTGCTCATTAATTTTTTTTATAATCTTATTTTACTTTGAATACTATTTTTTATTACTTAAATCTTATTTTTTAGTATATACCTGTATTTGAGTTGATTTATTCAAAAGTGTATTTATTTAATCTACCAGCCTGGAAAATCCATTTCTAAAATTACTTTCTTTACATTAAGATACAAAACTGAGCAGAGATGTATATTTCATGAATGGGGAAAAATCTGTGTTTAACAGTACTATTCGAGCTTTGCTTGGCTACGGGTCCTCTGTAGCCAAGAGGTTGAAGCACATCAAATCTAATGACAGTTTCCTGTAGGAGGACACAGGTTCTAATCCTGCCAGGCAGTGCATAATTTTTTTACTAAGATTTCTTGAATATTTGGGTTGGTAGATGTAAATAAAAAAGTAATAAAAATATGCCAGATTAATAAATGAAAAAAATCCATTCCTAAAATTCTTTTGAATATTATAAATATGTTAAGAGCTGCAGATTCTTGTATGGATAGCAATAGATTTGTCAACTGTATATATACCTAATACTACCATTCTGAAATTTGAAAATTCTCAAATGTATGGTCTTTTTACCAGATTAGAGATTGTGTATATTCATAATACTGGTAATGCTTCATCTCAGAATTTCAAGACAATTATTGATTAACAAAACTCTAAAATTTAGTAATGTTGTCAGTAATTACAGTCAGACACCAATGTTCTCAAATTTGTTGTCACTATCACAATGTTTCAGCAGTTGCACTCTCCTTCAGGTGTCTCTTGATCCAAATAAGATTCAGAGAATTTCAAACTGAACCCTTTATTTCATCTATGGAGATGAACTGTTCTTGTTTTTCTGACCATATTTTTTTTTTTTTTTTAGTTCTGCTCTTTAGTACTTTTTTTTTTTTTTTTTTTTTACTAGTCCTTTTTCTGAGTGAGCACTGGGATTGAATATGCTGCCAAATTCATGACTGTAAATTATAACTCCTAATTTCATAAATTCAGACAGAAATTAATGCTGTCAGGTTTTTGAAACAAGATTTCAGATAAATTTAATGTACCTGCAGTAGTTTGCCGATTTTCAACTTTGTTATTTCCATGAAAAAGAACCTTGTTAAAAATTTAGCAAAGAAATATTTTCTTTCTTAGATATTTTGAGTTTGGCAGAAAACAAACTCTTAGTAGGTTGTGGCAGATCTATTTCAAATTATTTTTTTCTCTCCATTCCTCAAAAAAATCATTAATGGATATGCGAGTAAGAAAATAACTTATAACAATGCAGTGAAACTAATATAAAAAGAGAAAATCTCTCTTGCAAGAATACTGAAAATATTATGTCTATTATGAACATATAGAAAAGTACAAACCTATTATGAGTAGTAAGGTAATTTGATAAAATATTTCGAGGAAATGGATATCAACTAACATAACTGATATGTAAATGATATCAAGTTATTCATAATGTATTTTTATAGAAAAGAATTTACAATGTATTTCTTTAAAAGTTAAAAAGAAAGAAAAGAAAAAGCTTTCTGGGGACTTTCTTTATTAAATTACCTACCCAAGATAAGGCCTGGTCGGATTTCACCAACCTGCAAGTCTCGTCTGAGATCACCAACAAATCCCCAACGGGACTGGTTCATGTTGGTCTCAACAATTCGTCCACTGTCATCCTTTTTCTCAATCAAAATTTGACCGCCAGGGGTTGTGATACGTGTCTCTGTTTTCTTCAGCTTGCCTTTATTGAATGCCTTTACCTCTTTATTCAAACTATCCATATTTAAATCTGGAAAAGAAGATTTTTAAAAATGATGAACATATCTGATGGAAGTATATATATTTTACTAGCACCTAAATTGGAAGAATGTTTATTAAACACATCATTTTTACAAGTAAAACAAATTCATGTTTAATTTTTTTAGGATTTTAATGTCCCTCAATTACTTCAGATTATAATTCCTTAGAATTGTGGGGGGGGGGGGATTTGCTGTCTACTACCAAAACAAATTAAAATTTTAAAAAATTACAAAACTAAACCAAATATGCCGATTTCAAATGAACTAAGAATTGCCCTAAAACCTCATGTTTAGAGATATACCCATAGCATATTTATAGAAGGTAAATTATATTATTACTATATTATTAATGTATATATTATAACTTGAAGCAAGAGAAACGTGATTCTACCAATATGTGCTAAGAATACCATAGACAGAACATGTGAACAAAGAGGATTGATTGATTCATTTTCTATGCTTTATCAATCCTTTGCAGGTTATTTAAAGCCAGAAAATATTTTTAGATTCTAAAAAATTTTTTTTGAGATAATAATTCCAATGGGAATTGGAACTCAGCTTTCTGATTAACAATTTTGAGCCATTATCCATTACAGCACCTGCACATCCAAGTTTACAGCATCTGGAGCAATGAAGAAGACTTAAAAAGAAACTTATCAGGCATTACATCGATACTTTTTGAATAAAATTCTGCAGGTTTTGATGTGAAAACATTTCAACAAACACTTGAATTTGGTTTTTATAAAAAGTTTTCCTCATCAAAGCATTTTACAGTGATCGAAAAAGGTAATAATTGGTTGGTGAATATAGAAGATGGAGAAAAGCAGATCAACCAACTCCCGAAATACTCCCCATCATGTTATTCTTGCGATATGTGAACTTGCATTGTCTTGGAGGAGAGCATTTTTTTTATTTAATCCACTGTGTATGCTGCCACTGTTGTGCAAAATCTTAGCTATGTTAGTGTACTCTAAATTTATTCTTAACTACCATGGCTGATTTGTAGTTAGGATGTTTCATTTGTCATTACAACTGATTCCCCAAAATGGAAATTACTTAAAACTCAACCTAATAAAAGAAAAATGGAGGAGAGGGAGAAAAAAAATATCTTTGGGATTATTCTTGCTCTGTATGCAGCCTTGTGTTATCATGGAGAACATTTTTGATTTAATCTGCCACTGTTGTGCAAAATCTTAGCTATGTTAGTGTACTCTAAATTTATTCTTAACTGCCACATATAATTAGTAGTTAGGGTGACACATTTGTTATTACAATTGGTTCCCCCCACAAAAACAAAAATTACTTATAACTCAAACTAATATAAAATACTGAGCTTATTTTTGAAATCTTGAAAAATGTTTAAGACCATGCTCTTGTTTGTGCATTAAGCTAATCTCTCATTGTAAGCGACAGCTGTAATCATGTAATGTTAATACAATACTAAATTTTTGTAAATTGTTTATTCACTTCTGGTCTCCATCAAATTAATGTCAGTTGTGTAGGCTATGTGGTTTTGGGGACTTTCTTTGAAAATGTGAGGGATTCTGATAGGTCAGGCATTTATATAACTTCTTGTTATCCAGCAGTATTATCCTAAGTTCAGCTGGGTTCACACCCCGTTTATGTTGGTACATTCACCGATATCCTTTGAGGCCCAATTCTGTACTTAGTTCTTTTGACTTTCTAGGATGATGCTGAGTACAAAGCTTACTTTGGTATTTCAGAGTGAATAGAGTACATATTGGAGTCACCACAAATCAACTTTTTAGATGAACAGTTCCAGATGATTTGATTCAGACATCTGGTGTTTCCTGGTAGGAGTCACATACTTTGCACAATGTTTAAGTGTAATTGGCCTTGACATCTTGATTCTGTTGCAGATATGTCCTGAGAAAAACTTAGGGTGTTCAGATCCATTAGAAAAGAATTGTGATGAAAATGCTTAGTGCATTGGCTACATCAAAAATAAATGTGTATGGTTTCTTGGTTTATGAGAATATTTTATAATACATGAAATAATGGTGGTGAAAAAAGATACATGCACAAAATAACAGAGATCGATTGATTTTCAATACAAGATAACATTTATTAAAACAAAATTAACAAAAAGAAACTTTAAATCAAGAGTTTCTTTTCCTAAAAGTAAACTGCATACACAATAAAATGTTAATGAATGTATTTGAGTGTGACTTGCCTGAGTAAGTATGCTTGTGGGTGAACCATGCACAGCCCTTTTTGCTTCAGTGTGAAAAGTTCATGTCACACACTTTGAAAGGAAGAAAACTAGAAGAGAGTTACTTTATGGGTTTAAGTTGTTTTTTTACCCCCAGGGCTGCTGCTGATACTATGTAAATTAAATCACTACAAATGCAAGAAGTGCATTTTACAAGAAATCCCATTCTTGCATATGCTGTTAGCATGTCTTTTATACAATCAACAGTTTTCAGCTCTTTTGAGACCTAATATTGTTTAGTTCAACACAAACAAATTGCATACTACCAGCTTAAGTAGATATTAATATGCTTATTAACATATTTTGAACATAAATATTTTATGCATGTATCTCAAAAACCTGTTAAGACAATTCAGAGTAAAGATTCAGTTGATTTACTGTTAAATCAACATTTTCCTAGGTAGCAAGCAAAATGTTTTATATAAGACAATTTTACCAATCATATGACTAAAATCCTGAAATTCTAGAAGTCTCAATACAAATTCACAATCAGTATACTTGATTGAATCTAAAACACTTGCTTTTACCACACTAAATAAATTTCTTCCTCAGTATTATTGTTCAAAATGACTTTATTAATTTCAGTAAATAATAAAATTTAATACAAATTTTGAATCAGTTTTTTTTTTTTTTTGAATCAGTATATTTGATTGGAGGAGGCACGGTGGGGTAATGGATAGCAGCTCAGATTGAGGAATCAGAGTTCGAATTCCAGTTGAATCCATTACATTCACTTACATGCTAAGAGCCTTGGAAAAGGTATGAATCCTCTTCTTCTCCCCACCATCTATGGATAAATAGCAGGACAGACCAGGTTCTATAGCTTTGAATGGTAACTGGTCTACCACAGAAAGAAATGGCAACCTACTGCGGGAAAAAACTGCCTCGTCAATCTTGTATCAAAAGATACATTATTGCATGGCACATAACTGACTGATACTTGATTGAATTTAAAACATGCTTTTTAGTAGATAAATTTCATACTCAGTGTTAAATGTTTAAAATGACTTGTATTAATTTCAGTAAACATCAAAATGGTAGCTTACTGTGGAGTTATGGTTAGCAAATTAATTACTAAAACTATTACTATTATGTTGACAGGTTGAAGGATGATAAGGTTTATAAGTAATTTCTATACAGTGAATTGGTGGAAGGAAAAAGGCCAGCATACAAGTTAAAAATGTAGTATAAAATTGCATAAAGAACACTGAAGAAGGCGAACATCATGCAAAATGATTGGAAAATCTGAGCTCTGGATCATTCAGCCTGAAGGAAAGCAGTGCACAATGGTAAGAGAGACTTCAAACAGAATTTTGTTACACACAAAAAATCTGAGAGAGGTATTTGTAAGGTGTTTGGTGTTAACTTCTCTGGAAATATTGCTATGGAATTTTATCTAATAAATAGGGTTTTGTTCATCTACGAAGGGCAGTCCTCAAAAATCATCAAAAACATCACACACAAAGTTATTCATTATATTATACAGCATTTATATAACTACTGAAAAAGATATCTGATGTTGCCATAGCTGCACAAGAGAATGTAAGACCCTAGCAGGACTAAATAGCCACATCCCCATGACCCATATTTGAGAATGGATCAAGCGATGACATTGTTTGAAATTGAGTTACAGTCATCAAATATCAAAATGGTGGCTTGCTGTGGAACAATGGCTAGCAAGCTAATTAATAAAACTTATTGTAAGTTTGATCCAGACACTGATTGCTTTATACTGTACTACATTAAACTTAAAATACAAAGTATTTGTGAAACGAGTTAAAAAGCTAATCATTTCGACTATTACTTTTCTAATCAGTTTGATCCTCATTGAGAGCCCAACATTTGAAGCTTTACATGGTACTACAATGATTAGTAGTCTGGATGACAGTCATCATTATAATTGGTTACCCAAAATGGAAATTACTTATGACTCAAACTAATATACTCACTTCTTTTCTTTTTTTTTTAAATATCTTGAGAAATGTTTGAGAACCTTGCTCTTGTTTGTGTATTAAGCTAGCCTCCCATTGTAGGAGACAGCTGTAATTATGTAATGTTATATTAGTAATGTCTAAATCAATAGGTTATTTCAATGTGAAACAATGGTTAGTAAGCCAAACATCTAGGCAGTTACTACTCTATTGAGTTCAATCATACAAACTTGAAAAATCAGATCATTATTAGTTGGACATAAATGTAACTCTGCTCTGTCTGGCTTTAAAACCTGCCTGCTCTTCTGACAATAGTTTTTCAGTCTTGGATTTCAGATGGCTGAGGATAATACAGAGCATGAACTTGCTGGGGTGGTTTATTGTTCTATAATTCTGGTATTGCTTGAGATTACCCTTCTTTAGTAGGGAGTATCACCAGTGACTGTGTCCACTTTTTTTAGCCACTTTTCCCAAATCCACTGGCATAGAGATTTTAGGGCCTTGACAGTTTCTTCATGAGTTCAGAGGGTACATTATCCACTCCAGAGGACTTGCCAGATTTCAGACTCCTTACTGCTGCTTCTACCTCCATCTTCAATATTTGCAGACTGTCTTCACATTCTGTTGGGTACTGGTATGGATAGAGCACAATGGAATAAATCTTCAACTGTAGGGTCCTCATC